TTATCAGAAACGAAGAACATATCAATCAATGTTACAGTCAATTAGTTAACGCTAGTTGATAAAACCTGGTTTGCCATCCTCGACTATCGATAATACCTGCGAACAAGGGTCCTTGAACTTGGGGGTAGCGACCACAGTTTCAGAACACCTGCCTTAGAACATCAGAAATTTTTGATAAATAAAAATACTAACACTGACCCTTAGCTTAAAAATACTTATTATGAGCAACAAATATAAAATACAATCCATACAACTCCTGAATTTAATACAGTGTTGTAGCTGAGAGTGCTATTTCACTTGTGTTTCTTGTACACGCGCATTTTTCTGTCTATTGTGCTAATTTTCCAGATCCATCACCACTGATTGCCTGTTCTCTAGCAGTTAACCAAATAAATCTCTGGTTGTCTTTGGATATTGTCAGTTGTCAGAAGGTGTCGAAGAGAATGATCTTTTAACCCTCCCCACCATTCAAGTAACTTCTCAGCGCTAATATCTCTTGTAACTAATCCATAAAAAGCGCTACTTTTAGAGGATAATCTTCTGTCGCGTTATTTGATATCTTGGCTGGGAAAAAAAACAGCTTTTTTTGACAATAATGGTTCTTTATCTACACTATACATTGTAAAACTCACAGCTCTTCATGCATTATTCATAAGCAAATATTATAGCTACAACACACTAGCTGACTTACACAGGCTACATTATTCTCTCTATGTTCCCGTTATCAGGCTGTAAATTACAATTTATTGTAAAATTACGGACTTCAATGATGTTTCTTCGAAACAATACAAAAATGTCAAAATTTATATTTTTTTTTATTTCTTCAGAGTGTAAGCTTTATATTAATTTTAGATCACATTGAACCTGTTTTATCAGACCAGGTGATTTTTTCTCCCTGTAAGTTTACTTGTTACATTTTATTTTTGTATTTCATAAACTTCGATAGTATTTCAATATTTCTGTTTGCTTCTTAACATTTATAGATTTGTGTAAGTTTGTTATATTTCTGTTTATTTCCCTCTCTGTCAGATTTGTTGTGTAATGTCGATTTATTCTGGTTGTTTGTCTCTCCATAGATGTGGTTATTTCCCTCACTGTCAGTCTACTTCCTTATTATTTGTTATCAACCTTCCTAGCTTTATTTGTATATGTTGCTCTGTCAATCTCGTTGTTTATCATCGGCTTCTCTGCATTTATGGTTGTTAGTCTCACTTTCATTTAAGCTGTTTAATATTCCTATTTCAGTGGGTTTCCTTTATACTGTATTTATACAACCAGTTTATAGCGTTATGCACACATATGATTCTTAGATTATAATACTGAATTCTAAAAATTCATATAGTGCCCAGTATCACATATGAACTATTACCTTTAATTGAGACAAATACTATATTTCTATGATAGATATAATGCTCTAACACAATATGAAAAGTCAAATATCTGTATATATTGCATGGTGGAGATATCACATCTAAAATAACCTAAGTCGACAAAACTACGAGCTTGGGCTTCGTTTACTAATCTTTTAAAGATTTACTACATAAAATATATTTTGGATCCATCTCGTTAACAATTTATTAGAACGCATTCCTAATAAACCTATGAATTTCATCGCGTTTAGTTATTTAATTTCAGCTCTTGAGAACAAAGACCATGAACTATATTTAATAGATAAAGAAACTCTGGTTCTTGTATTTGTTAAGCAATATTCGTGACTTTATTTTTCACTAGAACCTTAAAATAAATTATTATATCTTATTAATATTCATATGGAGCGTCCCTATTACAGCAGTCCTGATTTACTTTTCTTAATAAAAATGTCATTGCATTTTAACTTGATGAACAAACTTATCAAAGTATAGTGTTGGTTAAGGTAAATGAAATTAGTGCAGTGTACCCCCGGTGGGTCAGCGTTAATTTTACGGACTTTCAACCCTAAAGTCCTAGGTTCGATTCACTGCGGGAACAGACTCGGACAGAGCATGTTGTAGCTTTGTGCTAAAACAATAACATTAATACAGTACATAAAGTATAATGGCTATTAGGTGTTTTAATTCAGAATATACCTATAAATTTTGTTCTAAATTAGTTTCAAATGAATTTAGCTAAAGTAAGCGACCCTCAACTAGCCAGGAAGATAAACCTGAAATGACTTATTTTGCTTTAGCTTCATAATTAGCAAAGGTATAAAGACTTGATCCAGTTTGAAATTCCTAGCTGGTATAAACGGGAAAGGCTTAATACAGTTTTAGTCTGATAATTAATACAGATGATAAACCTAAAGACTTGATACAATTCTTGACTGACAATTAATACAGATGATAAACCTGAAATAGTTGATACAGTTCTGACCTGATAATTAATACAGATCATTATCCTGAATTATTTGATACAGTTCTGACCTAATAATTAATACAGATCATAAACCTGAAATATTTGATACAGTTCTGACCTGATAATTAATACAGATCATAAACCTGAAATATTTGATACAGTTCTGACCTGATAATTAATACAGATGATAAACCTAAAATATGTGATACAGTTCTGACCTGATAATTAATAAAGATGATAAACCTAAAGACTTAATACAGTTCTAGCCTCGCAATTAATAAGGATGATAGACTTGATACAATTCTTGCTTCGTAATTAGTAAATAGCATAAACTCCTAAATGATATCACAGTTCTTAGGCCTCGTCTAGTAAACATCAAAAAGATTTAAAATAGTTCTAAGTTCGTAGTTTGAGTTGGAAGACGCCTTCATTCTAACGTGGCAAAATAGATGTATAACTAAGAGATATTAGCTATCAGATGTAAATACTTAGACCTATCACACTTAAGATGTAAATACTTATACCTAACACACTTAAGATGTAAATACTTATACCTACCACACTTAGATCAAAATCTTTCAAGAGGTATTTGTTTATATATTTATCATTAGAAAATAGGAATCATATATTTTAGTAATTATAGTAATTCTTTGTGTACGTCATTTGCCCCAGTGCCTTCAAAAAAATATGTATGCCTAACATACTTACCCTCATTTTTCTTACAGCAGTAAGAAACAAATGTGTATAAGAACACCAAAACAATATTTTTAGATTCCACCTAAATGTGAAAAACCAATTATAGCAATTTTCTTATAAGTAATTATATTTATACAATGTCAGTCGTACAAAGTCTCTTATGTATAACTACTTTCACAGAACCACACATATCTATATATACAAAGTGACTTGTGCAGTGACTTATACCTAATTAACACTCGAGCACTTTCGAACAGTTGACTATTCTTCCCTATTGTTCTGAAGAAAAACAATAAACTAATCGAAAGTGCTCGAGTTTTGGTTTTTTTATTATTATTGTTGTTGTTGTTTTTTGAAATTCGTTATAACTAATTAGTTATATAAAGTCATTTAATCATTGTTGCGTCACGTATAAAAAGTTACTGTTTCACGGGTGGCAATCGAAACTAGTTACAAAAATACGCCTTGGTTTTCCTGTATTTAACATTTCTTCATATTTATGGGTACGTTCAAAATATTTCTAAACCCGTATAACAGAAAATTTTGTTCTTAAACATACCTCAACTTCAACGATTATTCTAGTACAAGCTGAAGTACCCTTCCTTTGTCAGGGTTATGAACTTAAACAGATGTGGGGGTGGAGTGGATGCTATGATAATATTTTTTTCATTGCATTCCTCATACATATATATCGTTTGTGTGCCCGCTCCCACCACTGTGTGTATGTTGTGTTATAGAAAAGTTAATAGAGTTTTTTGTGTAAGGACGTGGCGCCATCTGTGAATGTAATTGACGTTAACTAACCCCAAATATAATAAATGCTCAATAACAGCAATAATGGGGCACGGACGGGATTTTAAAACACCTTATTAACATACCTCTTGTTTCAAATTATCATCCCACAAAGTTTAGTTGAGATTGGCCCAGCGACCTAGGAGTAGTTAAGTAACGGAAAACAGACAGACACACAGATATTTGTGCATTATATATTTAGATAAGACAGTGGGATAACTCATATGCAAGTACTCCACCTAATAGAATGGACACTATAATTAACGAGTAGTATGAAATAAGACGGTATTCAATTGGCCAACTAAAAAAATACTTTTCAAAATAAAAATAGGAACTTTGGATTTTGAATCTATTTCCCAGACATTTATTTACTTATTTATTACTAGCTGGGGTGTCCGTCCCCTGGAACGGAAGTTATGTAAATTCATGATTAATGAAAGGTTATCCTAGGACATGAAAAGTTGCTTCCCTTATATGTAATTGTAAAAAAAAAACGCCCATAAAAACTGCAAAACAAAAATTGTGAAACCGGAACTTTGCATGTATCTCTGCATGGATCCAACAAACCATCATGTCAACTTTGGTGACGATCTACCAACAGGGGGCGAAGTAGTGGTAAAAAAAGGCAAAAAGGCAACATGCAAAACTGAAAATTTGTATGTACCACCGCATGGACCTAATGAGCCTCCATACCAATTCTGGTGAAGATCCATCCACACCCTGCCAAGTAGTTATATGAGCATACAACAGACAGTGCTATTATAGTTATATAGATGCATTATTTAACTGAAAAACACAAAACTTTGCGTTAGTTTTATTACTAATAAAACGAGAAATATTTGTACTTTATCTTATAAATACAGTAGTAAGATAACTCCCAGGATTATTCTCACAGTTGAGAAATTACACTTATCATAACAAGCTCTTTTCTTGCTTGTCTTTGAACATGAAAGCTATTTTACAGTTTATACTTTAATACGTTGTTTGTGAACATTTTCTAGATATAAAAATCTTGTAAATTTTGTCATTAAAATGTTCGATGACAACTGTGGTTTTGGACATTTTTTTGGGGTGTATGTGTGTGTGTGTAGGAAGGGGGGGGGGGGTAAAACCAGAAATCCTTTAGCAAAATATTCCGGGTAAAGAAACTCAAGTTATAAACAGGAAACACTGTTTATTTCAGTAAGAACAAAACTCAGAAGCCGTGGTTTCGAAAAGAGGATCTGCAAGAAGTGAATGATCGCGCTCGAAAAGCGTACGAATCCCTTTTGACCGTCACTGCCCCTATTCCGGATAGTAAAGAATTTTCTGAATTTTCCAGACAAGTACAAAGTATTGCCAAGAAAGAATTTGGTTTTGACTATGGAACAGAAGAGGTAATGAAATTCTGAAGCATAAAAAGCTAACAAATCAAAAGCTATAATAATAATAATAAAGTGGTTTACCATAAAATAGTCTTGAAAAGTGAAAAACATCAGATATATTTTTTGTATCTCGAATTAAATAAGATTTAACCTTTTTTGAACTATCAAAATTGACACTTTTAATTTCTGTTGACAGGTCAACACATTTGTCACGTCCATGTACGAAGCTGTCATTCTTTATGTATTAGCAGCGACTGAAATCTTGAAAGAAGGTAAAAATATTACCAACGGTACAGCCGTTACACACAAAATGTGGAACAGAACATTTGAAGGTGAGTTTACAAGTTAGGAAACTATTAAACTTAACACAAGTTTAACATAACATCATACAGCCGTTACACACAAAATGTGAAACAGAACATTTGAAGGTGAGTTTACAAGTTAGGAAACTATTAAACTTAACACAGGTTTAACATAACATCATACAGTCGTTACACACAAAATGTGAAACAGAACATTTGAAGGTGAGTTTACAATTTACAGAACTATTGAACTTAGCACAGATTTAACATAACATCATTGAATACGTTTCGTATTGGATAAATTTCAGTAAATGTGATTTAGCATCCTTGATGTCATAAAACGTACCAGTCCGGATAAATCTTCACTCATGTTGTCGATAGCATTAATTCGAATAACCCAAACACATACTTTTTGAAGTCGTGGGTGCTATAATTCCGAATTACGCATAGCATAGTAATCGTGATGTCTGACTAGTACCAACCTGATGTTCTTAGTAGTTTCAATCCAAATAAACTGGATATAGTATCTCTGATGTATTGTGAAGTATCAGTCCAAGTAAGCCTAACACAGCTTTATTATGTTTGACTAATAATAGTTCGCATAAACCTAACACAGT